ATAACTCTTGGTCCCGATGCATCGAATATCACAGAAATAGACTATTTTCACCAGTAAGTTAATCATAGTATAATAGTTAAAGAAACGCAAATTATTTCCCCCCCCCCATTGCTAAATGCACCTACGCAAGTGAATTATTGAAATAAAATTTAACAACATGTTAGACCCGAAATTACCCAGTTTGTGTCGATTGGGCGTTACCCTCTCGAAGTGAGAAGAAACCGTAGGACCCGGTGAAATACTCACGACACTGTAGCCACGCCGCTCAGTGGCATACCTTATGAGCTAAAGCCCTATTTTACTGCATCAACCGGGCTAATGAAGACTTCAAAAACAGATCTCTGTACTAAATGGCCGCCACATTGTAATGCGGACCTACACCGGTTCCCACCTGTTATATACAAAACGATTAATTCAACCTTTTCAATTTTATTACATGAAAGTAGAATATATACTTCTGAAAATTCTCGAAATATACTTAATGTTTTCGACTAAAATCGTCGATTTAAGACTCAAAATGTCGGTCAACTTGCTTAGTGTCTGTTCTCAAGCGCTAATTGCAGACAGACAGCGTAAGTTTAGTATGCATTCTCCCGTGCAATTTGTGTTTATTGTAGGTTCCTGGAAGCAGGTGGTGGACAAATTGTAGACAAGGCGACATTTCACCAGTAAGTTTTAAATTTTATTATCTGTGGAAATTGTTATTCGTTTACTTTAAAACAGAATCTCCAGCCCAGATGTCTTCTCTATCTTTTGCACTAAAAATAATGTCCTAAAGTATCGCCTTTAGTCTTTAATACTGGTAAGCTGATGCTTTATGATAAAACTTTCTAAAGCGGGTTTTGAATGGTTTCAATATACTGATTGTATATTTCTCAGACTTATTGTACCGCCGATGATTGACGGATATGGTTGCATGTGTTACTGTAGCAAATTTGTGGATATGTGCTACCCTAATAATACTTTTTCCCGCAGATAATATGTGCGTTCCTTGTTTCCATAAGGTTATAAAAAGTCAATCTGATTTAAATACAGATCCAATTTCGTTTCGTTTTTTTATAGTTCAAAATTTCGTTTTACTTGTCCTTACTACACCCAGGATCTGGACGAGTTGTTATATTACCCGCGTTCTGATTGATGTGAGGGATTAGCCAATGAAACGGTCTGTTATGGCGAGTTCTTGGCATGCGTTTCACGGAACTGTGGGTATTCTAGCAGAAACATCCAGCGCTGATAAGTTAATCAAAGGCCTGGCGTCATAGATCAAAAGCCGACCGTATGACCCCTTACGCGAACCCCCACTACAACTGGTCAGATCTTCATGTAGTGTAGACCATCGAAAGTATAAAAAAAACGAAACGAAAGACAGATCCGTATTTTAAAAAGATTGATAAAAAAGACTGGTGAGCTACAAAGTCTCTGTAAAATTATATTTAAAAGCGTCATTTAGATGTTTTACCCTGTGTTAATGAATGGTTATTCACATATTTTACAGTTATTACATGAGTAGCACTCTTGTAACCGTTGAAAAATTCCATAATGTAACTGTTCTTGAATCGTTACGACCTCAGCTTGAATTGGCCATGCGGTGGGGTAAGATGTATGCTCCAGATACAGAAATATGGTTGGGTGAAACGTCATCATCTTATGGAGGAGGTGCTTTAAATATATCAGACAGATACGTGGCTGGTTTTGTGTAAGTATATTAAGACAGGCCTCAATGACGTCAACCCTGGCATCATTTTCAGGGGGGTGGGATGGAAGGGGTGGGGGCAATCAATCGTGTCTACTTAATAGACAATTTTTAGACCCGATTGTCTACCTAGAGAAAATTAGTGAAAATTGCCACAGGTTGGCGGAATCTAGAGTAGTGGACTTTGATCCCAATTATTTTATTCCGACTTGTTTCTCACCTTTCTATATTATATCTACTGAAAGAGAATCGGTTTCACACGAGTTATTTGCCCCTGAGTTAGAAATCGGTATCAGACCAGTTAATCCAGCTAACGAACATGGACGTAACGGTCTTTAGACATTATACTTAGCCATAGCTTAAACATACATTATGCAAGAGGTAAATCTGCCTATTGTAGGTCTTTCTTTAAGCCTGAAATGTTTTATAAATTATTAATTAGACATTAATTAACTTGTCCTGGCCATAATCAACTCTCGATGGAATCGGATTTCTCTGATATTAAATAGATTAGAACAGTTCAGACATATTTTGATTTAAGCTAAAAATGGAGGAGCGAGACTTAGCTTCGAACAACCAGTACCGTGGTTGAAATTATTGCACACGTCTTGTCAAATTAATATCTTCGCTCGCAATAGAGTAATTTGAATGAAATTTTCAAATTATTCATTTTACATTATCTATTTTCGAACTTTTATAGCAAGAATGGCTAGCTCTTTATCTAAATCTTACATAATGTATCTTTATTGTTATTTTTGAATTATTTTCCACGTTACAGGCACCCGTGGTTATACACGCTGATCTAAATTTATCTGTATATATTTAAAATGTATTCTTTTCTCACATTTCTGATTTCTAGGCCCTATACTTGAGTCTTGGGGGCATAAATGGCCGCCATATCGAACAATTAGTACACTGTTTTGTTCGGCGGTCCTACTCCAGTTCACATCTAATATACACAAAATGTCATTTAATGTAAGCAGAATTCTAGAAATATGCTTAGTGTTTTCGACTACAATCGTGGATTTAGGATTTAAATATCGGTCAACCAGCTTAGTGTTTTGGACTAAAACCGTTGATTTAGAACTTAAAATGCCGATCAATTAGCTTAGTGTCTGTTCTCAAGCGGAGCTAACTTTAGACAGACAGCCTAAGTTTAGTATGTTAGATTACAAAGTGTGTGGAACCAGTTCCTCGTTAAAAACTTGTATTAATTGTTTTACATTTTCATTAATTAAACAGGCATTATGCAAAAGCTAAATCGGCCTATTGGGGGTATTTTTTATGCCTGAAATGTTATATAAACTATCAATTAGACATTTATTTACACGAAAAGACTAATCAACTCTCGATTCCATCTTATATGTCCAATTTCCACTGGATTTGAATTCGATCTGCTGTTCTACGATCCTTGATGATTCAACGCAAAAATGGATAATCGAGACTTTGTTAATTATTTGTAACAATGACAATCGAGCCTACAGTAATTTTAAAATAAAGATTTCTTGAGTTAGAGTGCCAACTCTTTTTCTAATCCTCCATAATGTATCTTTAAGTATGTTTATTATACAAACATTTTCTCGCGTGTTCGGTCCCTTCATTGGATTTTCCGATATAGTTTACACGTGTCAGTGGTGCAGAATTGAGGGCCTGGCAAGGACAGCTGTCTAGTCGTTCGGATGGGACGAAAAACCGAGGTAACGTGTACTCATTGGCGTGCGCGTAAAAGATCCCTTGACAGTTGGAATTCGATATAAGAGTAGGCCGTAGTGCCGCTGTCCGAGCTAAATTTCCCTCATAGCATACTGTATGGTATGCCTGTCTTCATTAGCCCAGTTCGGAGCAGAACAGTAGGACGTTAAACCCCATTTCATTTCTTTATTTCAGATGGATGGACAAACTGGGTTTGGCTTCTTTGATTGGTTTAAAAGGAGTTATAAGACAGAGTTTCTATGGTGGTAACTATGGATTAATAGATGTCAACCTTAATCCTAATCCTGTAAGTTTAGTTTTCACTTGGCCGCCATTTTGGATGTATGCTAATTTTTTTCAGTTATTATTTTTTAAGGCGAGTGATCACTCTCGAGCGTATGCTTTTAGTAATTTTCAGAAGTATTTATTTCTCTTCTATTTTCATATTGAATGAAATTAAATATCTTTATTTAGCCGCTGTGTGTATGAAAGATGTCAAACTAATCAAAGCCGAATCATAAAATAGTCCTTTAATTATTCAATATGGCGGCGCCCATAAAAGGTAATTTCACAGAGGCGGTTTTGTTTGCGAAGACAAATTTAGGAGTATCTAACCTTGTTTTGAAAGATAAACAGATTGAAACTATAAAGACAGTTTACAATGGTAAAGACTGTATTGCAATATTACCCACTAGCACATATTATATATCGCTTTTACCGGATTGGCAGAAGTTGACATTTTGCTAAAGACATGTGTTTACATAAAACACGTGCGTGATCGGGTTATTTTTACTCTGTTGTGTACACAAAGCTATAGTCCAGTCGATAAGTCCCGCCCCAAAATGATCACGTTAGCGTTTTAAATGGCGGCTAACTGGGGCGGTGATCATAATGACGTATGACGTAGATGGATCGCTGCGTGCAGTTTGGGAGAGGGGAGCTATTTCGGATCTCCTCTGAAGTACAAACTACAACGACTGAATTTCTAAAATCCCCCTTATCCGATGTTGGCCAATTTTGAATATTTCATTTGAAAGGTCATAATGATCACGATTCTGAAAGAATTAGCTTCAGTGTTATAGTTAGTCCATACAGTGTGCTATGATGGTCATTTTGCCCGAACAGCGGCGCTACGACCTACTCTTACGTCGAATTCCAACTGTTACGGGTTCTTTTACGTGCACATCCTCCGTCCTGTACCCATGACTAGAGGGAAGTACACCACCCACCTCCTAAAAATTAAGATATATTACAGGGTTCTTTTACGTGAACACCCTCCGAATTGCACCAATGACTAGTGGAAACTACCCCCCCCCCCCCACACACCTAAAAATGAAGATGAACTAATATAAGGGATTTATATTACAATGTTCTTTTACGTGAACACCCTCCGTTCTGCACCCATGACTAGGGGAAAGTACGCCCCCGTCTCCCACCCCCTAAAAATAAAGATTAACTAATATAAGTTATATATTACAGGATTCTTTTACGTGACGTGAACACCGCCCGTCCTGCACCCATGACCAGGGCAAAGTACGCCCCCCCCCCCCCGAACCACCACCACCTAAAAATGGAGATTAACTAATATAAGAGATTTATATATTACAGGATTATTATATAACTAAATTATATAAAACACTTGTTGGTAGCCCCGTTTTAAATATAACACAAGGAACAGATCCTAATGTTCGAGTCTATGCTCATTGTACTAATACACTCAGGTTTGTTCTTAATTTGCATCATTTTACTTTGACAAATTCTGAAGCCATCACAACCACACTATAGCGATGCAGTGGCGTGTCCAGGATTTTGAGCAGCAAGGGTCCGGGGTGGAAATGAAATGGGGTCTACGGCCAAACGTCATACAGTGTGCTATGAGGGAAATTTTGCCCGGGTAGCGGCACTATGGCCTACTCTTATACATATTTCCAACTGCCAAAGGATCTTTTACGTGCACGACCCATCTAGACAGCTGTCCTTGTCAAGTCCGGGTGGAGATAGAGTCAAGTTTGGCGTGAGATCTGAGACAATATTTTTTCGCGATCTCTCTCTCCCAATTAAATATATGGAACAATCTGACGTCATAAGGCCAAAAGCCGCTCGTATGACACCTGACGCGACCTTCCACTACAAATGGTCAGATTTTCATGTAGTGTAAAAAAAAAAAAAAAAAAAAAAAAAGGAAACGAAATATGGATCTGTATTTTAATCAGATTGAAACCCGGTGTAGGGATACGAAGTAGGAAGTGTAACAATATTTGAATTATGATATTTAAGGGCTAGGGGTTATGAAGCTGGGAGTGTTACAGTATATTTAATGAATATCGGAACTGAACCGGTTACAGTAGATATCAATGGCGGAACAACTAAACATCTATATATATTATCACCTGGTGATGATAGAGGTCTTACATCACAGTAAGTAAAGATAACTCTTAGTGCAATGGTGCGTAATTAATAGAGTTATCTCCCATTATGTTATGAACACATTGCACTGATCTATATAATATATACTATTCAAAAAAAGTAGGGGATATTTGATTTTTAAGTGTTATTAAAGTCACCTAATGAAACTGACGAATAAACAAATGACAAAATGAAATGAAGTTCACATTCCTCGATTTATTCCAAATGATCGTTAGACTAAGTAAGGCACAGACTGACCATTATAAGGGTAAAATGATACCCGGGGTCAAACAGCAAAGTTACCACAGCATCACAACCAAGTCAGTAACGGGTAAATCCTCCTCTGTTTGCCAAACAAGCATTGATCCGACGTGGCATACTCCTAATGAGACGTCTAAGGTCATTTTGGTCCAGATTGTCCCATTCCTGTTGCAACGCAGCAGCAAGTTCTTGGACATTGGCAGGACGTTGTTGACGTTGACGTAACCTCTGTCCAAGCATGTCCCAGACATGCTCGATGGGGGAGAGGTCGGGACTCAGTGCTGGCCAAGGTAATGTGGTGATGTTCTGTTGTTGGAGGTAACCTGTAACGATCCTGGCCCTGTGACATCTTGCGTTGTCATCCTGGAAGATGAAACGGCGGCCATGACGTCGTGCAAACGGCACAATATGGACTGCCAAGATGTTGTCCCGGTAGTACTGGCCTGTAACACGCCCTGCAACAACATGTAAAGCCGTTCTTCCAGCAACAGTGATGCCTCCCCACACCATAACAGAACCACCCCCAAATCGATCATGTCTGATGACGTTAACGTCTTGGAAGCGCTCGTTTCGACGACGCCACACCCTCCTACGTCTGTCCAAAAAATCAACAGTGAACCTTGACTCATCTGAAAACATCACATTGTTCCAGCGTCGATTATCCCAGTGTTGACGATCCCTACACCAACGACATCTTGCCTGAATGTGATGATCTCTCAAACAAGGGATCACGCGAGGACGTCGGGCGCGAAGGTGACCCCTATGCAGTCGATTCCGAATCGTCTGGCCACTCACTCTCACACCAGTGTCTGTTTGAAGACGAGCTCTGATCTGATTTGCTGTGATGACACGATTTCTCAAGGCCAAGGTACGGATAAATCGATCCTGGGCTTGAGTTGTCGCCCTTGGTCGACCTGAGCGTGGTCTGTCCTGTACAGATTGTGTATCACGGTATCTGAACCATAGCCTGCTTATGACAGACTGAGAAACATTCATCGTCCGCGCCACAACCGCCTGTGTTGTGCCGATCTGTAGCATGCCAAGGGCACGTAACCTTTCATTTTGGGTAAGCCGACGCATATCAAAATTTGTTTTCTGGTCACTAAAACAATTAAACTGATGTTTCCACCCTGGAATTCAATGCCACAATGACTGTAACATTCAAAGTCAGAGTCGTGCAAATCTTGGGTTGGCCCCCCATGATGATCCCAAGCATCACCTGCATTCCATGCGGTAGCTATTGGTGCGTTTGGGCGTCACATGTAACTGGAAATGTTTCTTCTGTTAGGTTCTATAGTGACTTTTTTCGTAGTCATTTGCATATTTTAGTATTATGCCCCAAAAATCAAATATCCCCTACTTTTTTTGAATAGTATAGATACATTGTCTCACATTATCATAAAGGGCATGCTCGGTTGAACGACCCGGAATTGAATTCTGTCAAAACCAAAAATAGTGACGATGGGTAAAAATGGGAATTTGGGGTTATATCGCATGCTGAAATATAATTGGTTGTATTTCATTACATCACGCTTCTACTCACACCACCTTCGCTGTCGGGACACTGGGACTGGACTGAATTCCGCGCCACACGATTGCAATGCCGTCAATTCGGAACATTCTGAAGTGATGATCGAGCATCCCCATTGACAGTACGTTCATAAAGCAGTGGTTACGAGCATTATATGCCCTTAAACCATTGCCACAGACTGTAGTAAAGTGATGTTTTCAACAGCCAACACAGCGGTTTTTTTAATTTAAATTAAAGATGCATTATGTAGGATTTAGAAAACGAGCTGGCAGTTCTCGCTATAATATTTCCAAAATAGATAATGCAAAATGAATACAATGAACATTTCATTTAAATTACTTTATTTTGAGCAAAGTTATCAGTGGTTGTAGTTTTGACAAGATGTGTGCATTGATTGTTACTACCGTACTAGTCATTCGAGTCTTCGCCTCGCTTCTCCATTTTTAAATTAAATCACTAAATGGCCGAACCGTTCTAATCTACTTAAAATCGGAGCCATCCGATGGCATCCAGAGTAGATTATGGGTTTGTCATGTTAATAAATGTCTAAATAATTAGCCTAAAGAAAGACCTCTTATTTTCATTTCTGTTCTTCCAGGTCACTAAAGCTTAATGGAATACTTCTCACGATGCCAACAGATCGACAGTTACCTCCCCTTAACCCAATGATACACAATGGACCAATTGAGTTACAGGGTTACGGAATGTCATTTGTTGTCATGGAAGCCAGGAAGAAAGAATGTTTCTAAAAAAAAATAATAAAATGTTGACCTTGAATTCTGTGTAACTTTTGACTATGTTAATCTTTGGTTTGTCAGATCTATATTTCGTTTCGTTTTTTTATACTCCCGATAACCTCTACTACATGCAGATCTGATTGGTTGTAATGGGAGGTTGCGTCATGGGTCATACGAGCGGCTTTTGACCTATGACGTCAGCCATTTGATTAACCAATCAACGTTAATGTTTCAAGTGGTCTACCCAGTTCCGCACGCCGAGAACAGACCGTTTCATTAATTAATCCCTCACATCAACCAGAACGCGGGTTATACAACTAATCTTCCAGATCCTAGGGAAGACAAGTAAAATGAAATTTTGAACTATAAAAAAGGAAACGAAATAGGATCTGTGTTTTAATCAGATTGCCCGTGGTGTGAGACGGAGGGCCTTGCAAGGGACGCTACCTAGTCCTTCAGATAGCATCAAAACTAGAGGTACACTTTGCCCCGCACGTAATAGAACCCTTCACAATTGGATTTGTCTATAAAGAGTAAGCGCGAACACTACCGTCCGAGCAAACTTCTCATCCCTATAGGACTGCACACGTTCCTATAGAAAAATTAAACATTGACTCCGTTCTAATAAATATATAATAGCTTAAAATATATATTATTGAAATGGAATGAAGTTTAACGTCATACTCTTCAGCTCCGAACTGGGCTAATGATGACGGGCATATGCCATACAGTGTGCTGTGAGGCAGCGCCACTATGGCCTACTCTTATATCGAATTCCAACTGCCAAGGGATCTTTCACGTGTCGGCCAATGTATCGGTTTTTCGTCCCATCCGAGTGACTAGACAGCTGTCCTTGTCAGGTCCTGCATCCTGCACCACTGGCAAGGGGAAACCACGCCGGAAAATCCCGATGAATTACCTCGGCCAATGGAGGGATCGAACCCGCGATCTCTAGCCGTTTTACCAACTTAGCCACCGTGGCTTCCATGTATTATTAGTGTCTATGTAGACAGTATTGGCGCTTACGTGCAGATGATAAGGCCTGTACAAAAATAGCTAGAGATAACATTTGATTCTCAAGGATATTAGGATAGTATTTAATTTGAGGTCAGACGGGGATTTTCGAGAAGTGTCAAATTTACTGTTCAAATTCTATTCACATAAAATCAAGATGGCGTTTTGTAAAAATAGTTACCGGTATATTACGTTGCTCCTGTCATTTATCTCTATGACGTCATGTATAATGGTTGATGTTACGTCAGCACGAGCGGTTCAGAATATTAGTTCTATGTTTGTGGGTGTCACCATTGATTTGCACGTGGTAAGAGATGGATGGAGAACAATGGATTTTTCGTAAGTTTTAATATATCATATTGTTTAAAAAAAGCGCACATATTGTACTCGGAGCTCCAAAGGCGCACAGTTGGTAAGACGCTGGCTCGCTAGCCTGGAGGTCGGGTGTTCGATCCCTGCATTGGCCGTGAAAGTTTACCCAGATTTTCCGGCGTGGTTCCCCCTTGTCGGTGATGCAGGACGGAGGGTCTGACAAGGGCAGCTGTCTAGTCGTTCGGATGAAAAACCGAGGTTCCGTGTACACATTGGCGTGCACGTAAAAGATTCCATGACAGTTGGAATTCGATAGTAGATCGTAGTGCCCTGTCCGGGCAAAATTTCCCTCATAGCATCACTGTATGGAATTATGACGTCATCAAAAATCGAAGCCTGTCAATCGATGCGCAGTTGTTCAAGGAACATACATGACAAGTGTCATATCTATCGTACCTGGATTGGTAGAGCCGTAGGCTTTTTTCGAATTCCATCGACACTCTTTCGATATTTTAACGTGCCTACACGCACGGACGTACCTCTGAAACAAATCCGTGCTTTGAAAATCAGAAATCTGTGCTTTGAAAACTTTCGATTTCTGTTTCAAAAGTTTTGTATTGTTGACGTATTCCCACCCAAAGCCCAGCTTAGGCATAGGCCTGGGGGGGGGGGGCAGGGCCCCGTGTTCTAGGGGGCCCCGCGGTTCATGGCACAAAGAGAAAAAATTCAAATTCCAGATGAAAGTTTCACGGTAATCGATCTAGCCGCGCGAGGACGGAGACTGAGCTATCCCTCAACCTTCTATGTGAAGTTCCACTCGGTGATCGGTCTAGGCCTCTAGCGGCGCGATGGGCGGAGACTGGATGAGTCTGCAATCCCTCAACCTTCTCTGTGATTGGTCAAAACCCATTCAAAAGGATATGAAATAATCTTTTCGTCGCATTAAGGGCTCCGCGATTCTAGTCAGGCCCAGGGCCCCGCTTTGGTTAAGCTGGGCTTTGTTCCCACTACATCGTCAGGTGCAGGTGACAAACAGTGAACGTTCGTTGCCTTTGGATCGACTTCGGATGTTTCGTTGGAGTGCTAATGATACTGAAACGCGGTTATAGATATAAATATGTTAATTCTTTTATATTTTTGTTATAAAAGTGTAAGCGTGATATCGTGTTATGGGAAGTCAAATTCTGGAAATTTTCGCGGAATCCCAAAACATCGGAAACCGTGCTTTAAAAGGATTATATTTGGAAATTGTACCACATCGCATTGGTGTTGTTCACGTGTCTTAGCAGCTTACCCCACCGATTTTTAACACATTAGAACTTTAAAACTCTTTTTTTCAGATCACAGAAAATGCTGACATTAGCCAAAGGTCTTGCTCCGTGTTATTTACGAGTCAGTGGTACAGAAGCCGATTTTCTCATATTTAATCGGACTCAAGAAATAAAGTCAAAACGTAAAACCAATCTGACTCAAGGAATAAAGTCAAAACATAAAACCAATCTGACTCAACAAATAAAGGCAAAACCTAAAACCAATCTGACTCAAGAAATAAAGTCAAAACTTAAAACCAATCTGACTCAACAAATAAAGTCAAAACGTAAAACCAATCTGACTCAACAAATTAAGTCAAAACCTAAAACCAATCTGACTCAACAAATTAAGTCAAAACCTAAAACGAATCGGAATATTAACCTTGTTTTATTAGATTTCTCTATGTCAGGTATAACCCTATTGTTTAAATTCTGTTTATCTAAGGAGACATGGGCCCGGTTGCTCAAAGCTCCGTTAACTTTTAATGACCCGTTAAAGCTCGGTTCATACTACATCCGTATCCGTATCTGTAAATACGTGCGTGAATACGTACTGGTATACTTTAGTCATTTTTAGAGAAAGGGTTGAAATAGAGTCCGGCACGTATTGCGCACAAAAACAACTGCGTCCGTTAAGCCGGATTGATTGCTCCCAGAGCGTATTTTTGTAAAGTGCGTCCGGCATTTCGGCTAGTGAGCCGAGCTTAGCCAATCAGCCAGAACTTTCCCCTTATTACATCATCTCCCCAAATATATAGAAACTCAATCCATTCCAGACAATTCAGCCTTGAAAGCCGGACGTTTTCGCGTTTTCTATTTGAACGGCAAAACGCGGATACGGATGCGGGTGCGGATACGGATGTAGTATGAACCGAGCTTAACATTCCGTTAACGGATCGTTAACTTTAACGGAGAGAAAGTCTGTTGCTGGAAGCCCCGTTATCTTTAACGTGTCGTTAACTTGCCTTTATATTTAACGGAGGTGTTGGGCTCCGTTATCTGTTTAACGATGGCATTAGTCGGCTGTTTAAATTATATTTCTCTTAGGAGCCACGGTGGCTAAGTGAGTAAGAAACTAGCTCGCTGGGCTCGAGGTTTGCGGGTTCGATCCCGGTGTTGGCTAAGAAAGTTCATCGGATTTTCCGCCGTGGTTTCCTTTCTTTAGAGGTGTAAGACGGAGGGCCTGACAAGGGCAGCTGTCTAGTCGTTCGGATGGGACAAAAAATGAGGTCCTGTGTATGGCATAACAAAATCCCCTAGAAGTTTGAATTCGATATAAGGGTAGACCATAGTACCGCTGCCCGGGCAAAATTATTTCCGTCATAGAACACTCTATGGCGTATACCCGCCTTCATTAGCTCAGTCGGAGCAGAACAGTAGGACGTTAAACCCCATTTCATTTATTTCAGTTTTAGACTGGGACAAATTAAACCAGTTTGTCCAACAAGCAGGATGGGAATTAATATTTGGTTTAAATGCACTTTTACGTAAAGATGGACATTGGGATCCAACCAACGCCATAAAACTGTTAAACTATACGATAGAGAAGGGTTATAAACTAGTGGCATATGAACTTGGAAACGGTAAAACTTTACTTCTATCTTGACATCCTTCATTTAATAAACCAGTGGCATATGAACTTGGTAATGGAAGGTATGATTTAGATTTGTTGTATTGAAGTTGATTACCCGCGTACAAACTGTGTGATTTGAATATATTCAAACTAATATGTCTTTCGAACGTTTGTTTAAAATTCTTAATCGTTGGAAAAATACCCCATGCCGAAATAATCTATGTTAAGCTTCCTTCTTTGTCACGTTGACAGTTGTAATTCGATATAAGACAAGGCCGTAGTGCCGCTGTCCTTGCAAAATTTCCCTCATAGCACCACTGTATGGCGTATCCCCGTCTTTATTAGCCCAGTTCGGAGCAGAACAATAGGAAATTAAACCCCATTTCATTTCATTTCTTTGTCACGTGACATGATTGAAAGGTGGGAGGGGGGCAATTTTAGCTTGATTTGTCGTTAGTCGCTGTCAATATTGAAGCCTATGTAAATGCTGGGATTATCCTCTGCCGGCTTCTTTTTCCGTTAGCCATTAGAGATAGAGAGAGAAAGAGAGAGAGAGAGAGAGGGGGAGAGAGCGGAAGAGAGAGAGGGAGAAAGCCAAATATTACCATAAAAATGTCTATTCCCAAACCATAAAGTCTGTCATTGAGTCAACTGGCGTAGTTTTGATTCCTTGGTTGTACGTGACAAGGAGTAGGGTCGCCTGTTCAATCTCGTGGGTTTTCTCCCGTGGTTTCGATTCCCCCGTTGTACTACTAAACCCCCTAAGCGCAAGCGAATTGTTGAAATAAAATTAACCATATGTTAGTCCTGAAATGACATAGTTTG